ATGTGGACAAAAGGTTGAAATTGAGACGTTTACATTTTAACTAAATGTTTCAGAGCTAAAGCTGTAGAAAAACTTAAATCTTGAAACAGCATCTATTTTCTCTTACCTTTGGAATGACAAAATACATTTAAAAGATTTGATTTTTACAGCTAGCAAACAGTTCAACATTGAGCAATATAACTTTTAGAAGTTTATACTGAAGATATCTAGAACATAACACAAATCACAATAACTCTGTTTCATGTCATGATGCAACAAACTGTGTTCAAAGGGAAACAGGAGTAAAATATCTCCCACATTTTTTCACTTTCTGGAATAAATTGCACTTCAGAGTTCAGTGACTGAAATAAACCAAACAAATCAAACTAGAACTTTTTTTTGTGATGAACTGATATAGTTGTAGACCTGAAATAAAGTGTAAATAGTTGAACTAAAAGTTAGAAACCGAACCTAAGCATTACTTGTTTTGAGTTTACATATTTCAGCAGAATCTCCAGTGATGTAAATATAAACCCCAGCCAGCAGCGGCTGAGTGAATCTGGTCTGGACTCTGTGGATCAGAGTCATGGATTCAGAGACGCTGTAGAAGGACAGAATACCTGCTCTGTGGTCCAGGTACACTCCGACTCTGGAGGAAACTGGACCTGAGACAGGGGTCCAGTCATTGTTGTGACCAAATTTATAACCATCTTGGGAACAATTTAATGCCCAAGATTTGTCAGTATACCCAAATCCACATTTTTTCCCACTTCCTACTCTGCAGATATTCTTGTATGCGACTGCTATAAAAGCTCCTCTTCCTCTCCTCTCCACCTCCCAGTAACAACGTCCAGTCAGACTCTCTCTGCTCAGAACCTGAAAGTAATGAGTGAATCTGTCTGGATGACTAAATGGTTGCTTCATCCATGTCACCTTCTTGTTCCCCTCTGATAGTGCCAGCTGTGTTTGTGCTGTGTTTGGATCCAGAGTGATTTCACATGAATATCTTAAGAATCCATCTCTGCTCTTTGGTTCTGGTTCTG